CCCCATCATATGCCTTCATCTCTTCTCTTATAATAAACAATCAAACTTGCGGTAGATGTAACAGAACCGCCCAATTTATACAAGATCAAGTACGGCTGTCCCCGCTAACACGTTGACACACACATACTTTCACTCATATAAACCCGGTAGTCCGCCGAGTGTCCCGAAAGACCTCGATAAATCAACATCACAACCAAGATCGCGTGATTAAGCAAATACACATCACATACGCAGGGTTGCAGCGGAAAATAATATTACAAATGGGTTCACAAATAATAGTACAAGTTTGGGTTTCAAAACCGATTAGTGAAAACAACATAACTTTCAAAAGATTACATTAATATATGTTCCAAATACATTGCTAGCATAAGTGACATCATCCAACAAAAGCATATAGATGAGAAGTAACTATAGATTCACCGAGCCATCAGCGGTTAGCCACCATCTTCACAGGCCAAGAACTCCACCTGCAACATGGTGGGATAAACCCTGAGTACGAGAAGGTACTCAGCTAGACTTATCCGTCAAAACCAGAAATAAAGGACACCAAGGGTCATACAAGGCTTATGAGGTGGGCTAGCTTGACACAGTTGCATAAAAGAGCTTATGAATATAGTGACCAATTTAAACTTAGCATCAAGCTTATCATCATTTACCTGTCCACTAGATTAGCACCTGTACTAGAGCACTCACTTATTAGGAGCAAACAATATTAACCATAGCAGGTATAATAAGGCTGTCATCATCATATCATTATTTCTGAACCATTATGTTATTTAGTGTATCTACTTTGGAGATAAGCCCGTCAAGTTCTCACTAACCGGGAGAGACGGCGACTCGAATCGAATTACAACTCAGCTGAGGGGGTATTCCTAACTCTCACCCTAGCATACTTAGCAAGGGTAGCCGTGGGTCACCTTTGGAACAACTCAGGAACCAAATTCGCGGGTTCGATCAGCGCCAGCACTCTCAGGGATTACCCTTATGCTAGGACGATCAAGACTTTTAAATCACCTGCCCTTGGACTCACGCCTACGGCTCCCTTTCGAGGCGCACTTTATACTTATCGACTCCCGGCCTGAGGTGAGCTACTCGGCTTCGCGGTCGGTCTTCGGACATGGCCAACTAAGAGAGAGGCATGCGTTCAACATGATCAGGAAAGGCTCCAAGATTCAGTCCTTAATCGACACAGACGGAGTCACTGTAACCCAGCAAGCCTCCGTCCGGTCTTCATTTCAAATTAAGACTGGTTCTTTTCCACGATAGCAAATATAGCCAACCGTGCCATATGTATCTTCCTATATCTCACAGGTGACAGGAAATCACCTGACTTCTACCATGTTTAAGCAGGGCTAAGCACTACACGAGCCTGAGCTACATAGGATTTAGGGTAACAATATCTGGACAAGGATTGGATAACCAATGCAGCAAGTGTTTGCATCCAACACCTAAACTTAATGCAACAATATATGTAACAATAATACTGTAACTGCATTTTGGAAATTAGGAGGCTTAATATGCCCCGGGGCTTGCCTGGGATCCGACACAAGTCAGTTCAGTTAGCTTGCATCGTCATGGTGACATCTCCGGTCCTAGCACTTGCTTAGTCCTTCCATCTTCGGGATATATCCACCAAACCAAATCTTCGGGTTTGACTCCAACATCGTATCCTTCACGTGGTGCATCTAGCGTACCTAGATGATATGCAATATACAAGTGCATAAATATGAAGAATAGTACCATGAGCCGCTTCACAAGATAGCAAGCAAGACAAACATAGTTTACACTAACACACTTAAGTACTTTGTGATGCTTAACTTAAATATCACACAATCTATCATGCTAAGATGGCAAAGAAGACGACAACACAAAGCATGACACAAGTTTTCCAAGATCTCAGGTACTCTAACTCAACCATCATCAAAGGTATGAGCCACACTTAGCAATATACAAGCAAACAACTATAATTGGAATATGTTAATTTCTGGACATGCAAACATCAGCTACAAGATTTAGCTATAACTAGAGTTACACAAATACAAATGACTTGCAAGAAGATATTCTGGAAAGCTTATGAAATTATCTACATTTCATCTATAACCATCATAGCATGATTCACAAGTTAAGTAGGTCGAAATTATATATTTACCGGAACTGGTCTAAACAAGACAGAGAGCAATCAATTGTATAACCCAACTTTAAACAATTGTAACTCTTAAACTACTTAGCCAAATGACACCAAATTTTAACAACACCTAGATACATGAATAATCTATGACTTTTGTATAAATAAGTTTCACAAAAAAGCACATTATCATGAAGAACCTAGCTAAGTTCCCAGATCTGTCCATAAACCACATCGGCAAGAAAATAATTATTAACTTATATTGCAAATTCATAATTGGGCAAAACCAACTTTACCAACATTTCACACATGACTAAAGAACACCAGAAAACCTAGTTTCCATGACCAAATAAATTCTTTTAATGCATTTCTTAATTTATTTTAGATAACAAGGTGACTTAATGAACATATACTAAAAGTATACAATAAATTCTACAAAAATTACAGTGGCTCACATATCCTCTCAATAGTCTACTGTACAAATTTCACTCCATTTTAATATGTATAGCAACCTCTATGAAAAATACAAGTTGCTAAAGCAAGAAATCATGTGAGAGCAAGATAAACCAATAACTCACTCATACTTCATCCAATACTCATGAAATTTTTACCACACATCAACTACCATATGAGTAGCATGCCACAAAAAATTCACTTCATTTGGAGCCCTAGATCTGCAGTTATGGAAAATAACAAATTCAACTAGCATTACAACCTTACTGCACAAATCTATTTTTACCGCAAAATATTGAAACTAAAACATACCATATTATAGATCTAATGCATAGAGAATTTCACGAGGATTCCAAAAAGTCCTCATTTGCTATTTTACGAATTTCCTATGAATTACTATGAATTTCCAAAGATTCAGCAAATTTACTGCAAATAGATCCTTATCGGCACTATTCCTTTGATTCACAGACTTCGCAGTTAGACCCTTACATTTTGTCAAATTTGAGCCCGAGGTCCCTGGTCGGAATTAAAAGCAGAGGAGCATGTCGGACTTGCTGTTGCCAACCGAAGGAGGCTCGTCGGCGGCGGTGGAGTGGTGGTGGAGCATCAGCAGGGCCGCGCGCACCCAGGGGACAGCTCGGCTCGGCCTGAGGCGGCCCGAGTTGGCCCGGCCACGCGAGCAGGCGGCACGGCGGCCATGGCTCCAACAACGGCAGCGCTACGGTGGTGGTTTCGACTGATGAAGTGGCGCGGGAGGGACCACGCTGGTAGTGGAAAGCGTTGGGGCTAACGTCAAGAGCAGAGGAGGCCCATGGCTCTCTGTCCACGCGCCCTCGCGACGCTCGGCATTGGCGGCCATGGCGGTCGCGTGGCTTGGCGCGGAGCGGGGCGAGGAGAGCCTCAGGAGACTGGCGCGCGCGTAGGGCGGACCAGCTTAGCGCGGGGTGGTTCGTGGTGGCACGGCCACACACCCACGCCGGGCGGTGGCGGCGCAGTAGCGGCTGCGGCGTCCATGGCGGCGAGAGACAGAGATAGAACGAGAGGGAGGGGGAGAATGGAGAACGCAGGGAGCAAGGGCTCGGGCTCGGCCTCTAAAACACGAGCGAGTGCGAGTTGGCGCGCATGCAGCGAGCGAGGTGTCGAGCGAAGCGAGCCGAGGGAGCCACGCGGCGTCGAAACCCTGTGCGATCAGACATTGCTGCTGCTGCTTCGGCTGATTTAGAAATACCACCGCGAAAATACGACTGAAGCTCCCAATTTCGCATCTTCTAACTGCCGATCCGGTGGTCCTGTGATCAAGTCGCAAGAGTCAAAGTTGTATATATTTCTGAGTTGAACAACATTTCTTTAAGGATCAAGAGCTAACTCATCCTAGATTTGGAGATATGGATCTTCAAAGTAAGGTACCTCAAAACCAAATTCTACAGTTCAGTTACTGGCTGACTGAAACTGCATTCTTCGCCCCCTTATACACCATAATCCAAGCAGTTTAAGCAAAAAACTCAGTAATACAAGTTGTATATCTAAGGGAGTACTACAACTTCTATTAAAAGTTCATGAACTGGTTCGGCCTGGTTTGGGATATACAGAGCACCAAATAAGCTAACCTGAAACTGAAATTCCCGTTCCCAGACTTAGAAAAATTTCAAGTGCTGAAAACAGCTGCTGATTCAAAGTTTGAGCCTCGGTTTGACTTGCTTATAAGCCGATCTAGCTCTTGGTCCAAATATAAAGTTTGTTGTACATAACATGGACTCCAACTTTTATTTAGGTTCCACTGCCATGCAAACACTATAAGCTACAGTTCAAAACAAGTCAAAGTCGCATCACTATAAAGCTTAAATCACCCTTTTTGATCTATTGGAGCATTTTCTGGCCACCTGTTCAACCTGAACCTTTCATGACTTTTGTTGTAGAGTTCATATAGAGTCATTTGGGGAAGGTTGCAAGGTTTGGTTGACTTCATAGGTTTCCATCCACTTGATAAAGCAATTCATGCAAAGATATGACTTATCATTTCATGTGACTTTTTGATTCCAAACTTCATGAAACTTTTTCAGTGATCCATATAGATGGGTATTGATGTGAGACACATGAAGATATTCCAATAACACCAGCCAAGCATATATCTTGAAAAGACCTATATGTAAAGCAAGGGTGCAATATCCGAGTTTAGGTTGGGGCTCATTTTCATAGGTTTGACCTTGACATCTTCATCACCACTTAACATGCCATGTTTGAGTTTAAACCCATTGCTTAACTGGTGATAAACACCTGGGGTGTTACAGTAGACTTACGTCGCATTAGCACACCCGTCCAAGTCCAACTAGAATAAGTGAAGCCGATATAAACGAAACTAAATCTCGCTAATGCCGTATTGCAGCAACTAATTAACCGTGTACATATAGATAGATGACGCCATTTATCTAGTAGCAACCTTGGACTTGCGTGCCATGGTAATCACATGGTCAAAGCGCTGTGCGTCACAGGGGACCTTGAGCACCCCCTGTTGCCCGTACCCAAACTGCTGCTCGGCCATCTCCAGCAACGCCGCCAAGCATGGCTCCTTGAGGTCTCTCACGCGCACCAGGACCTTCGTCTCCGAGCCACCTTGGTCGTCGTCGTCGTCGTCGTCGTCGCGAACCAGCACCAGGGGGAGGTACCCTTTCGGGATCCTCTGCTTGCCATTGTCGTCGTCACGAATAGCACCGGGCACGCAGCTGGCCAAGGCCTTGGCGCTGGCCTTCCTTGTCCAAGCGGCCATTGTTGTTCCTGTGATATGGAGTACTGGTGCTGTGGATTTGCAATGTGGATTCTAGATAGGCTATGCGCCGGCCTGTTGTGTTTGTTATGATGACTTGATGCTCAAACTCGATGATGATCAAGAGATGCAATGCAGGGGTTTTATACAGGAGTGCTGGTGGTGGGGATTCAATGCCGATTCTCGGACTTTTTCCAGATCAGTAGACAGACGTGACTTGTGTCATTGGGCATAGTGACACTGACTTGTACGTGCGTACGTGTAGTGTAAAAATTGATGAATCCCGGTCTGTGTTATGTATTTGCTGTCCCCATCAAACTTCGATAATCAAATTCAGTAAATGAAAGGCTCCTATATTGTATTCCTCTGTCATCCGTCAGTAGAAGTTTCACTCGACTTTCATCCCGTATTTACTAGATTTTTACATAAACATAAACATTTCTGATGATATGTATCGTTTTTAAGAAAAGAAAAAAAAATAATGGAGTTCCACGTAAATGAAACTCTCTTGGGCCGGTTTCTAAGTCTAAGTCATATGTTTATGAATAATAACAAAATGAAACCATATATTGAAGGTGGTTGCTTTATTCACATTTTATTGCATTCTGGATATTTTTTTAAATAACGCTACAAAACTCTCCACTAAGAGTGAAGCAGTCCCAACTAAGAAACCAAGATGGTTTCTATGGCCATTAATTAGGATGTCAACTAAGAAAAATAGTGATGTAACATTAGAATTAAGGAAGAAAAACTATGTCTACAAGAGAACTACCATAAAAAGAGATGTGGTAGGTGGATGATAGGAGAGAGAAGGTAGGTGATCGGACAAAAATCTATTTTGGATAAACTATCTATTGAGAATATGATTTTTTATATAGTATCTATGAGTTGGTAAGTGCAGAAGCTATCTCATAATTTTTAGACTGGAACTGAATGCAATTCTTGTTTTTTAGGAGTTATAAACAGTTCTAAATTTAACCAAATCTATATTAAAGAAGTACTAACATTTCAATTTAGTATTAATAATATGAAATATATTTTCATAATATACCTATTTAGAGTCATAAGATTAAATTTAAAGAAGTCTAACTCAATTTAAACTTAAAATTACATCTTTTTTGAAACGGATGTTGTAATGAAAACTGTGGTTTTAATTTTTTTCGTGAAGAAAAATTGCGTTTACACATGTACATATGAGCAGTAGCAATAGCCGCTAGTCAGTCAAGGGACATCATCTAACTACGATACTGTTGGGCTGTTGGCTGACTACCAATTCAGGTTGTTAAAATTGAACACTCCAATACAACCTGTTAGAAGAGAAATAAAGTCTGCTAATCTGTAGAGCTGGGAACCCCAATACTCGTTATTCTATTTTCGTTTTTGCTTTACAAAAAGCTTGGCGCCTAGGCCAAGCAGGCCTTTGCTCTGAAAACGTTAAGCACACTTCTGCCGTGTCGGTCGGTTTGGTTTGATCAACGTGTACGAGGACCGAACAAGGACACACGTACGCACGCGTTGTTTAGCGTGTTGAGTACTACGTATCTGTCAGTGAAGCCATGAAGGGACGCTGCCTACCAGGACTGAATAGGTTCCATTTGTGTGGTTGAGTTGACAAAAGGAATATCACTTCATTTGTCTTCTCCAAAAAAAAATGATATAATGGGTTAATTTCGCCAACATATCACAAAAGTAATATTAATAATGCACTAAAAATGTTTTGTATATACTAATTATTAGCCTATGAGGAATGAGGTGGCGATGGATCAACTCATTCCATTTCACGTACCAAATAAAAAAAGTGAAGTGAGAAAATTGACCACCTCGTTCCTCAGACCAAACACGCCCTCAAAGATTGGCTGCATAAACAAGCTTGTGAAACGCTGTTTGATGTACAAACCGCAGTTTGAACTTTCTGCAACTATCATTTTTACAAATGAAGTCTTAACACTTCCAGATATCCAACAACACAGCTCTATCTGGATAACCCAGATTTGTAACAGTCAATGTTTGCTGTTGAGCCATTGACAATCAGAGATTTGTGACAGATATGATGTACAATGATGGCACAATGCCACAGTGGTTTGGGGAACTACATGTCAATAATCCTCTGGTATAATGATGACTGATACAGCATTGGCAACCAGGACTGTCATGGCTTCAAGAGGGGGTGTCCTCATTCACTATCATCGCTATCATAGTTCTGGCATAGGGACTGGAGAACATTGGTTTGCTTTGCAGATTCACTTTTTTGTTCATCATCTAGGCCTTTCCCGTTGTCTTGGACAGCCATGGATTCAACCTTCTGTCTCTTATGAGGATCTGCGCTAGCAGACTTTGGTTTCACAATAAATTTGGGCATCCAGCTCTTGCTCCCTGCAATGCATGCCCAACAGTGAGTTTACACATGAAAATATGTCGCAAAGCTGTAAATAGAGGGGGCGAGGAACAAAAATATGGAGGCATAAATTTAAAAATTAAAAGATGACTGTTTTTAACAGGCAACGGAGAACATAGCAGATATTCATCGTGAAATGCAAAATAAGCAGGTTTTATATTGACAATTTAGAATGATCATTGGCCATGGCCAAAACTTCCTAAATTCATAATATGACATCACAAGTTAAATGTGTAAAGTAGTACAACAGTTTACAGTTCTCCAAAAAGAAAATCAGAACCCTATAACAGAGTACCTAATTTGTCAGTAGAATAAAATTCCAATGTAACAGAGTACCTAATAGATGTATGATGTATCCCAGTTTCAATTATGTATTCAATATAGGAAGACTGACGAAAACTCTGTTATATGGGGCGCTTGAGGCAGATTGATGTAATTACATAGAAAATTAATAATAAATCTGCTTAGTGCTTACCTTCTTTATTGGCACCCTCCGATTCGTTAGTTTTGCTTAAAACATCTGTTGGCTTTGTCACAGATTTAGAAGATCCATTGATCTGCAAAAAGTTTAGAATATTAACCAATCAAGAAAACAAATTAAAGACTTCATAAGTTTCATCTCCATTAGAATGGCTAGATTTAACGTTGGCTCGCCACGCCTATCACAACCCTCCTCCTTTACCAGGGCTTGGGACCTGCTATGTTGAGACAACATAGGCGGAGTTTCAAGACTTCATAAGTGAGGTGCATAATATTTTCATATGAAATGGTAGTGATAACTACTTGGCTAGCTACTCCACAGCAGCAACAATTCATTTCTAGGCTACAATTTGCATATTGCGCATTGCTAAATAACAAAGTTTACTGTTATCATTTATATGTTGAAAGGATGCTCACCTTTTTAGCTCTAAGAAGTTCCCTCAACCTAAAGAAAACTAGATATTCTAGAAACCTTACGCAGGACAATGTGTCAGTTTCAAAATCTAACATGTTAGCTTCTAATCGCTTAAAAAATTAAGTGAAAAACTGCAAGGGTAATTTACCATTAACAGAAAATATGTGATGTAGGGAATGGTAAAACAATGCCTTTTTAGGTTACAAGTAATTGAACTGTAAATTAATGGTACACATGGCCATTTTGGCATAGCTCCAGCTCCGAAATCCAAGTTAGACCTATAGTTTGTAAACTAATAATACAACAACAACAAAGTCTTTAAGTCTCAAAAAGTTGGGGTAGGCTAGAGTTGAAACCCAGCAGAAGCAATCAAGGTTCAGGCACGTGAATAGCTGTTTTTCAGGCACTCCTATCTAAGGCTAAGTCTTTAGGTATATTCCATCATTTCAAGTCTCCTTTTATTGCCTCTACCCAAGTCAGCTTCGATCTTCCTCTGCCTCTCTTCACGTTACTATCATGGCTTAGGATTCCACTACGCACCGGTGCCTCTTGAGGTCTCCGTTGGACATGTCCAAACCATCTCAACCGGTGTTGGACAAGCTTTTCTTCAATTGGTGCTACTCCTAATCTATCACGTATATCATCGTTCCAAACTCGATCCCTTCTTGTATGACCGCAAATCCAACGCAACATACGCATTTCCGCGACATTTATCTGTTGAACATGTCGTCTTTTCGTAGACCAACATTCTATACCATACAACATAGTAGGTCTAATCGCCGTCCTATAAAACTTGCCTTTTAGCTTCTGTGGTACCCTTTTGTCACATAGGACACCAGATGCTTGGCGCCACTTCATCCACCCTGCTTTGATTCTATGGCTAACATCTTCATCAATATCCCCGTCTCTCTATAGCATTGATCCTAAATATCGAAAGGTGGTAGGCACTACTTGACCTTCCAAACAAATATCTTCCTCCTCCCGAGTAGTAGTGCCGAAGTCACATCTCATATACTCAGTTTTAGTTCTACAGGTTTTGGACTCCAAAGTCTCCCGCCATAACTCCAGTTTCTGATTCACTCCTGTCCGGCTTTCATCAACTAGTACTACATCGTCCGCGAAAAGCATACACCAAGGGATGTCCCCTTGTATGTCCCTTGTGACCTCATCCATCACTAAGGCAAACAGATAAGGGCTTAAAGCTGACCCTTGATGTAGTGTTTCCATCACTTGTTCGAACACTAGTCACAACATTGTTGTACATGTCCTTAATGAGCCCGACGTACTTCGTTGGGACTTTATGTTTGTCCAAAGCCCACCACATAACATTCCTTGGTATTTTATCATAAGCCTTCTCCAAGTCAATAAAAACCATGTGTAGGTCCTTCTTCTTCTCCCTATACCGCTCCATAACTTGTCTTATTAAGAAAATGTCTTCCATGGTTGACCTTCCGGACATGAAACCAAATTGGTTCATAGAGACCCGCGTTATTGCTCTCAAGCGATGCTCGATAACTCTCTCCCATAGTTTCATAGTATGGCTCATCAACTTAATTCCCCGGTAAAGTTTGTAAACTAATAATAAAGTGTATTAAATATTTGTATTTAGTCCAAACTATAAACAAAATGGTTCATCTAAATATTCTCAGGTTACCTCCAGCTCCAGATCCAAGATTTCTTGGAGCTACAGAAACAAGGGCCGTAATATATATTATCATATGCAATCTTAGGCCAGTCTCAATGGAGGTTTCAAAGGAGTTTCATTTTCAATTAATGTTGTGACACATCAGCAAATCTGCTGAGTTGGCAAGGTATTGATGAGAGAGGAAACGAGTTTCATCTGGATGAAACCCACCCGACACCGATACCCAGGCGATGAAATCCCCACTGAGGTGGTCGAGTTTCATTTCATCACGTTCGATGAGATCTCCTGCAAGCTGCGACGTGCGCGATTCTCCGTCCCGCCGCCACTTCCTGCCTTCCCCTTCCTATTTCACACCAACTCCCTCAATCCCCAACACTATATTTCCATCTCCTTTCAATCCGGCTGGTCCAAGTTCTTCAGGTGGGCGGTGGATCTCCATCGGCAAGCCGGAGGGGTAGGAGACATCGGCGAGCCGCCGCCAGTGCCAGTGCCTCGCGTGGCCGACGCGGGGATGTCGGCAAGCGGTAGGGCGGGCCATCATCAACAACTGGAGGTCCTTGCGACGGAGCTCCCTGCGACGGCACTCTCGACAATGTCGTCGCGTGGAGTTAAGAAGGGGGTGGGAACGAACGCAGCGGCGAGCGGAGGTCTCTGCGACAACGCTCAGCAATGGAGACTCCACCTCGCCTTCCTCTTCACTGGGAGTTCCCCACAATCAGCTGCGCCACCACATGCATCGTCTTCCTCTCCACCAGGAGCCTCGCAGCCGCCATCTGCGCCACCTCAGGCAACCTTCCCCAACTCTGCGACAGGGCTGTGGCCTGGATTTGACAACGGTGCAGGGCATTACCCACATGGAAATAAATCCACAAATTCATGGTAAGCTCGTATCTTTGTGGATTTAATTCCTGTATGAGTAGGATTGAAATCCCCAAATCTTGTGAGATTGAATGTATGTTTATTTGAGGGAAGTTTCTGATATGTTTTAGATCAACCTGTTGATCTGTGTTAGATCTAAAGAGAATGTCAGGAATTTCAATTTGTAGCCATAATTTTTTTCCTGTAATTGAAAAATAGTTACTGCAGACACACGCTTTAAGAGATGTATGCACTTAGATTGTTATTGCAGACACACGCTCATTGAGAACTAGCACTGGTCATTCGAGACTAGCACTGCTCATTCAGAGTGGTGCATGAACATCCATTTGTATACAGTTAGGCTGCTACATCCAATGTGCTTTGTGTGCTTTGTATACATCCAGTGCTGCTCATTCAGACTAGCTTTGTGTGCTTTGTATACATCCAGTGCTGCTCATTCTGCTTTGTGTGCTTGTATACATCCAATGACGCAGCAAGAGAAGGCTAGTCGAGATATAGCACTGGCTTCTATAACACAGAAGCTGTTTGGAACATGAAGAAGCGGCATAAGGTGAGTTCTGTGCGGGACAGAAGTAACCTTTTTTATTCACTACATCTTCTAGATGACAACAGTAACCTTTTTTATTCACCACTTCATTTTCAGAAGCTGGAGTGCAAGCTGTTTGGGACTCAAAATGTGTCCTCTGTTTAATTGAGCACTGTCTGTAGTAACTGAGAACTAAAAATTGCATTGAGGAAGTTTCTGAGATCAACCCTATGAAAGTCCTGATCTGAAACTTAGTTATGGCTACATAGTTTACTTGGTACATTTGATCACAACACCATACATACATTAAATGCTGCAGGTTGTCTATGAAACAGTGAAATGAAACCTTCCATCGAGAGAGCCAGTTTCATTTCTTAGTCCCAGCCCACAAAGCTGACGTGGCAATCTTGGAAACAGTGAAATGAAACTCCTCATTGAGACTGGCCTTAGTATCTTACCCTAATTGATGAGTTGGGATATAAACATCAACACAAAATAGCAGCGAAAAAAAAAATCAGATACCTTTATTGTTTTACTCGATTGGCCAGGGACCAAATCATCATCATCGTCATCATCATCGTCATCTTCTATCCGCTTTACATAAAATCCAGAGTTCTGCATTAAGCAATAGAATCACGTCAAAAGGAGTTGCTTTAATTGCAAACACTTAAAAAGGTGCAGTTTCAGAAGGTAACACCCTCCATGCACATGTTATGCATGATGGCACTAATCGACATTGCGATGCAGAGATAGAGAATTACTCGAAAAGTGATTGATTTGATAAGTTCTTCATCTTCTTTATCAAGCTCTGCAATTGCTTTTTCCTCCTGTTATTGCACGAAGAATATCGATGTTAGTGAGCGTAGGAAACTACACTGTTGCCATAAAGTTATTCTAAACAACGAAAATGTGGAATGTTTTATTTCAGACATTTATTAAAACATGATAAAGCAAACACTGTTTCTAAGGTCTTACCTTCTCATGAGCAGAACACTTCAAAATTTCAAGCATCTGATCAACAGAGACACCAGCATGTCTAGACTGTAGACAGCACAAGAAAACAATATTGGTAATCAGCAAAATCCGATGAAATAAGAACTACAAAACATCTAGTGGCCTAGAACTAGATCCAACCTTCATGGACCGCATCTCTTCCAAAGCAGCAAGAATGTCCATATCCTGCTTTGAATCCATTGCTCTATTTTCCAACGCTTTCATTGCATCACCCATCTCCTCAGCATCTCGTTTCCTCTTTTCTTTGTCTGCTGCCTGAACAAAAGAATATGCATCATGGTGATCAAATTGAAGATTATATGCTTGGAACATGGAATTTGTCCTTCGAATATGCCCCAAAATCACTTACCTCATCCTGTTCCCGCCAAGGTTCAAAATTGCGACTAGCCCCCGATTCCACTGTGTAGTCAGAATTCTGAGGATCTGTTTTGAATGTCATCTCAGCAGAGCACTTAGTACACTTGAAGTAAAACCTAAATATTTGTATTCCCAAGTATGTCTGCGCCCAAAAGAAGGAACTAGCATTAGCAATGGGTTAGCATACAATCAGTAATCAAAATACCCACTAGTTGATACATATGAAATTCCACAGTTCCAAGACAACAGACAACCAAATAAAGCATTATGCCAGGCCATACAATGATGAAAAATAAATTCAAACCATGGTTGTAAATTCAAAAGCACAAAGATGCCTATGAAAAGGCTATAATGCTTAGTTAAATGAAGAGATGCAAGAGCTGAGCAGAAAGAATATAGGATGCAGAATAGCGAAGCTATCAACACTGCAGAACCTAGAAGAGCAGGCAGAGCACTTTTAGAAATAAGGACTCAGGACTGACAAAAATTCCAATATAAACTGGCATACATAAACTCCTCAAACTACTCTAGAATAAATATAGAAGACAGGACATGTAGCTAGGAGACCAATGGGAGATTGAAATGGATGCCAGCTTTTGTTCAGATTTCATGTAAGCATATACACTGGTGGACCAAAACTGTGAATTGAATAGTACAAGAGTCTAATTTTCAAACCCTTTTTAGTAATTACCTAGAGAATTTATACAGCTAGAATCACAATTACATGCTGCATCTTCATAGTACTGCAGTGCTGCTACCATGTTAATTCTATCACCTCTTATTTCTGCCATTGTTATTTCAGAGTTAGCATATGGTCCATTCAAATAGCTTATAGCAATAAATTTTGTGAAGCCGGGAAGTGTTTTACTGGAGCTCATGATACTTCATCTGCTCTATTTGCTTGTACTCAGCAAGCAATGGTACAGCCCTCTTCTTATATACACCGAACCACTCTAATAATGATTGTCCACAACCCATGTGTAGAGCACTAGATACCCTGTTGATGGTTGAATCATCCACAACCGATGCATGTACTAAAACCGAACTCTTGTCACCAGGATTCCACAATCACTGCCAGTTTTTAGGCACTCATTTCGTTTCTGTTTGTGTACAGCTAGATCTTGGAAGAGAACATCAACAAAACATACAGCAGATCACCAGCTAACACAATGACTTCATTAAGAAAAATGGTGTGGATGTGGTGGGTAGCAAATTATTTGCTTAGCAGCATGAAACTACCAGCCACAGATACGCATGTGATATATGTATGCCTAACAGTAGCGAGGGATCCAACAATCTGCTCCTAGCGCATTTGGCCCTGATCAGAACAAGCAGGGCCAGGCATACTATTTTTCCCTGATGACCAATGCAGAATTTGCAAAGAAATTAGGCACCAACCAGTGCCCACAGAGATTTCAATTAGCGACCGTGCTTGTAACTAGGTCTGGGCGAGTATCAGGCCTACCTCTCCGATGACGTCCTCCTTTCTGGAGTTGAACTTGGTGCCCTTGTATATGTATGTCCCGCAGGTAGCGCACTGGATGCTCATGGGGAGCATCATGCGCACCTTGATCTGCTGGTTCTTGGGCTGCCGCCGTCGCGGGATCTTCGACGGGTCGAAGTCCGGCGGGTAATACTTGTTCAGCACCTTACGTTCACCCATCTTGCCGGAACCCTAAAGCCTAACCCTACTTAGGTCGGCGGCGCGGGATACGGAGATGAGGGGGGAGGGGGAGGGGAGTGGGAGGGAGGGAGGGAGGCTGGGGGCTGGGGAGGGCGGCGCTCGGACGCGTGCGGGAAGACGACGACAGGGAACAGGGATAATTAATTTTTTACTATTCTAACGGATGACGTATCCCAAACAGCAGTTTTAGATTTGACGCTATATTTTTAGCAGTAGAGAGAGAAAAACGATACACATTTATTATTTGTGTTCACGTGACACGCCAACTCCGTTGTCCAGTTCGAATCCGAGTCAGCAGGCTCAGGTAAAATAACCGTCCCTTGCCCCTGGCTTCTACTAACACACGGGTCTCACAAGTCATATTCTTCTTCAATCTCCGGCCATCACCACACAGCGAGGAAGGGGAGGAGCTCGTGCAGTCTATGGGCAGCTAGCCAGTCATGGCATGAGCGTGCGCACGACAGGGTGGGCATCATGTCCTTCGAGGGGGCCAACGCCATGTCGCACGCGGCGAACCTCTACCACTCCCTCTCCGACGTGGAGGCGGCGCGCCTACTCGGCCCGCTCTGCCTCGGCTCCCACGTCGTCGTGCGGCGCGCGTGGCTGCCGGCGGCGACGACGCAGCGCCGCCACAAGGCAGACGGGCACACCTCGGTGGCGGCCTCGACGCGGCGGCAGCATTGTGCAGCTGCAGAAACACAGGAGGAAGACGCGACGCATGCGTCGCCGCCGCCGCGACGACTTGCACGACGCGGCGACGACGCGAGCACCCCGGACGCCGCGTCTACGGTATCAGATCCGTTGGTGGTGACCGGAGTCCATCGAGTTCCTTCCTCCATACATACGTCGTGTACACGATGTCGATACTTGCTCCGCATGGTTGTCTGCTGCAGATGGAAAGGATGCGAAGACTCGGGGAGGCTCGCCGCCGACACGACGTGTATGGTGGTCGCAGCCGTGGAACGCGCTGGTGGCGCAGGTCGGCTCGGCGTGGCGGAGGACGAGCCTGAGCGCGCTTCGGTGCCCAACGCTGAGCTGGAGGAGAGGCTCGGCACCTGGCCGCCGAGGGCCAAGCGTGGCTAGGCATCGCTAGGAGCCACGAGGCCGTCGCCGTGGGCCTCACGCTTGCTATGTTGGACCACCGCAGAAGACCTTCTTGCACCGGCGCCGATTGTGGCGGCGGCGAGGCGGAGGACGTGCGGTCCTGTTGCTTCAAGACCTCCCCGTCGGGACTGCTAGTCGTCGCCGACGATGTGGCGTCTAGGGGCTGCTCGTCGTCGCTGTCGTACAAGTCATGCGGCAACGGCGACGCGTGCGTGCTGCTCCTCCCGTGCCGGCACCTATGCCTATGTCGCGCGTGCGAGGTCGTCGCCGAGGTGTGCCCCGTCTATGCTCGCCGAGAAGCTCGATGTGCTCAACCGTGTCGCGGCCGTGGCCTCGCGCCTCGACCGCCGGTGCGTGGCAACGACACTCATGGGCTTTGACCATGTCTACGCTAACCACCTCGCTAGCCACTCTCGACGCGGGAGCGTTCGCCTCCGCCTCCAACGCCATGTCGCTCTCTTGGGTCACCGACGTGGCGTGCTGGATGGAGGACACCTGCTAGCGGGCGGTGGTCAGGGAGCAGAACGCGTGAAGCTGCGCAGGCGTAGCATGCTTGAAATCTCTAGTTTGGTTTTGGTGAATTAATGAAACTCTAAGTGCTAACCTAATGTATCAAAAGTGATTATGAGATAGGTAGCACTAGTCCAAGTGGTGAAGCAAATGAAGATCATGACATGATGATGGTATTGCCATAGTGATGATCAAGTGCTTGGACTTAGAAAAGAAGAAAGAGAAAAATAAAAGCCTCAAGGCAAAGGTATAAGTGGTAGGAGCTTTTTTGTTTTGGTGATCAAGACACTTAGCGAGTGTGATCATATTTATGTTTGATAGCCATACTATTAAGAGGGATGAAACTTGTATCAAAATACGGTTATCAAAGTGCCACTAGATGCTCTAACTCATTGCATATGCATTTATGATCTAGTGGAGTGCTAACACTCTTGAAAATGTTTATGAAAATATACCAACACATGTGCACAAGGTGATACACTTGGTGATTGGCACATTTGAGTAAGGGTGAAAGAAGATAGAGTTAAAAAGGAGTTAGTCGCGTTGGTCACAGAGTGATCGAACGCGTCCGGTATAGCAACCGGACGCGTCCGGTATTAACGACCGGACTCTGGCTCAGTGGAGTGACCGGACGCTGAGGAGTTACTGTTTCAGTGTCCGATCAAAGTGACTTAGCTCGGTTCAGGTTTGTAGAGAAGCGACCGGACGTGTCCGGTGTATGAACCAGCTAGACAGGTTTCAGAACTAAAATTGATCAGACTCTGGGAGCGTCCGGTCCCGTGTGACCGGACGCGTCCGGTCGGCCTAGAGCGGCTTTGGGAGCTCTCTAGACTCGATCGGATGCTGCCCGTCCTGCGTTCGGTCGTCCACACTGGATGCATCCGATCGCATGGGACTCATGGCAGCAACGACTACTTCATTTAAAATAGGACACGTAGCGGTCAGGCAGCGACCGGACGCATCTGGTCGTCACACCGGACGCGTCCGGTATACACGGTCGGTGCGTCCGGTGCACACGACCTGCGCGTCCGGTCAACGCGCAGTCAGTCCAATAATTGAGCCAACGGCTCTATTATTTGGGGTGTCTATAAATACCATTTAGCTGGCTCTTGCTCACTTTCTTGGCCATTTGCATTGACATAGCAACCTTGTGAGCTTAGCCAAAGCCCTCCCACTTATCTCCATCATTGATTCATCATCTTTGTGAGATTGGGAGTGAATCTAAGTGCATTACTTGAGTGTTTACATCTAGAGGCACCTGGTGTTTGTGTTTCACTGCGGGATTCACTTGTTACTCTTTGTGGTTGCCACCACCTAGACGGCTTGGAGAAACGAGGATCGTCGAGCGAAGGTTGGTGATTGTCTCTGGCTCCGATCATGGTGATTGTGAGGGGTTCTTGACCTTTCCCCGGCGGAGAGCCAAAAAGTACTATAGTAAATTGCTCGTGGCTTGTGTGATCCTCATCTTGTGTTGATTGTGTGGCACCCTATTGAGGGTTGGGTGTGTGATGCCAATTAGCACATGAATCTCCAAGTGAGTGAATTGCCACAACGAGGACTAGCTTGCTGGCAAGCAAGCGAACCTCGGTAAAAAATCATTGTGTCATCATTTGGTTCTGAGGTGATTGGTCTTTATTGGTATTCATTCTTGTGATTGATTGGTTCACTCCTCAACTTGGCGGTATAACTATCTTGCTCACTCTCTTTACATTATCACAAACTAGTTATCCAGCTCTTTAGTGTAGCTAGTCGTGAGAGCTTGTTAGTTTAGTTAGTGTGTGAAAGGATCAAGATGCCCAAGAGGGGGGGGTGAATTGGACTAATTCTAAAATTCTTTGCAATAATTAAACCCTACGGTTAGCCCACTTCACCCCTTATGCCTAGAATGTGTTCCTATTGATCTATCGCACAAAAGTTTAGCAACCTATGTTCTAATCCTACTCTAGCATGGCAATTCTAAGAATATAAAGACAAGAATTGAATTGCTCAAAAGTAAGTGCTCAAAGTAAAGAGAGGAGAAGGAACATGGCGATGTTTTGCCGAAGTATTGGAGAGTCACCACTCCCCACTAGTCCTCGTTGAAGTATGTGGTAGAACCTCCTAAATTATAGGTCCCACATGTACTTGTCACTGTTCAATAACCTCTGACGACTATGCATATGTTCCCGGTAACTTAAGAAGACTGTCGGGTGTCCTCGGAGAACCTCGAATCATCCACGATTTTTCCGAGCAGGATCCATTACAGAGTCATTGCAGTATTACAACAGTTTATTCATTAATTTACATCAGAGTGAAATAGCGAAAGTCTTACAATAACTTAGTTACAAAACAGTTGTTTCAAACCTTACAAACTAAGTTCGATTATTATTACAAACCGTAGTAGTGGAGTGGCATTAGTAACTTAATACAAAACACACAATTAAAGTGCCCTGCCCAAGGGCCACACATTTACTTGTCATCCTCAATTTGAAAAATCGTCATGCAGCACGGTCCAAAGCAGACCTGCTCATGAGGCTCACCTGCAACAAGAGTCAACGAACCCTGAGTACAAAAGTACTCAACAATACTTAACCGAAGAAAAATAGAAAAGACTCAGGAATGCAGGCTCAGGGATTTAAGGTAAGGCTTTAGCAATAAACAAAGTTCTTTTGCGTAAAAGCTCTCTAACAAGATTCTTTCTTTCAACATTTAATCCTTATCAAGATCATATATGAATCTACCATGATCCGTATTGAGATCATGAACTTCATATCAAACTTTTTCTCAAATCTTCCTCAAGTTTCATTTATTAACTACGATGATGAACAGTGAGTTGAGTCTCCATAACCGAGGAGCAACGACGATTCAAACCGATTATAACCCACCTGGGGATTCCCAACCACACGACATATGCAGGTCCCTGACCTACATATACCAACCTACCCTCAAGTCCTCTAAAACAAGAACGGGTCCGCGCCATCCGAGAGCACAGTACTCCACCAATCCAGCCCATTGCCACATGGGTACACGCTACTCCCGCCATCTCTCCACTCCCAGTGCGTGAGTAGCCATTCTCGTAATAGAATAGTCGAGTTAAGGCTTACCGGAGTATGTAGCCAGTACTACAAAGTCTCACCTCATGCAATTCAACAACAGACGATTCTTAATCGACACAGGCGGAAAGAACCCGCTCACAAGACATCCATGTCTTGTGGCTCTCATACACCGAGTCCGCCCAGTCTAGATTTATTACTCCACATGTTTATATCTCATGATAACATAAATAATCAGTCGTATTCAAAAACCCTTTTATATCTCACAGGTGATAGGTAATCACCCGACGTTTATCTGTCTAAGCATGCCTAAGCATAACTAGGCATTCTCGA